GGTCCCGAGAGCCCCCGCCTCTGCGGCGCCCCCGGTGGACCGGGCAGGGCGCGGCCCCGGGCAGGGCACACCCGGGGCGCAACAGGTACGAAAGCCAAAGCCTCGCTGGGGACCGGCCCCCCGCGAGCCGGCGTCCCCCCGGCTTCCCCTCGGAGGCCCTCACGTGGCCAGGATGAGTTTTCCTCCAACAGCCCTGGGGGCCGCGGGCTCGGGCCGCCGGCCGGGCAGAGTTAGGGAAGCCGGATGCTGGGGGCGGGGCCACGCGGGGGCGGGGCCACGCGGGGGCGTGGTTTCACGACAGCCCCAGCACCAACCCAATCATCGGCCATCCAGTCCCTCAATCAGTAAGGGAAGACCCCTGTGTGCCATGAAGAACTGCGGGGGGGGGGGGCAGGGCTGGGAAGGTGGCTCAGTGGTAGAGCGCTTTCCTTGCATGCCTGAGGCCCTCAGTTCGATTCCTCAGCATCACATAAGCAAAAAGCCAGAAGTGGTGCTGTGGTTCAATTGGTAGAGCGCTAGCCTTGAGCTGAAGAGCTGAGGGAAAGCACCCAGGCCCAGAGTTCAAGTCCCACAACTGGACCCCCCAAAAAAACAAAAAACTGCTGGGGGTAGGGATGGAGTAACTTTTTTTAAAAAGCCGGTGCCAGTGGCACACACAGGTAATCATAGCAACTCAAGGATTAAGGTTCAAAGCTAGCCTGGGCAGGAAAAGTCTGTGATGAGACTCTTATCTCCAATTAACCACCAAAAAGTAGGAAGTGGAGCTGTGGCTCAAGTGGTAGAACACTAAGCCTGAACTATAAAAGCCAAGGGACAGCACCCCAGGCCCTTGAATTCAAGCTCCAGGACCAGCCCTTGGGCCTGCATACACACACACACACACACACACCTCAAGAAAGAGTGACAAGAGAGTAAAACAGGCTAGGCTGGGGGCAGGTTCCAGGGAAGGGGGGTCTGGCTGAACTAGTTTATGACCATATGCAAAAATAAATGAGCGGGGGCTGGGATGTAGCTCAGTGGCAAAGCGCTTGCCTAGCAAGCACAACGTCCTGGGTTCGATCCCCAGTACCAAAAAGGAAAAGACAAAAAAAAAATGAGCGGGGCACTGGCGGCTCACGCCTGTCATCCTAGCTACTCAGGAAGCTGAGATCTGAGGATCACAGTTCGAAGCCAGCCCAGACAGCAAAGACCCTCCCATCTCCAATGAACCACCAGAAAACCAGAAGTGGTGCTGTGGTGCTGAAGAGCTCAGAGACAGCACCCAGGCCCAGAGTTCAAGCCCCACAACTGACCAAAAATCCAAAAGGAGAAGCTGGGCACTGGTGGCTCACGCCTGTCATCCTAGCTACTCAAGAGTTTTGAGATCTGAGGATTGTGGTTCAAGGCCAGCCTGGGCAGGAAAGTCCATGAGACTCTTATCTCCAATGAACTACTCAGAAAATGCTGTAGTTCAAGTGGTAGAGTGCTAGCCTTGAACACAAAGATGCTCAGGGACAGTGCCCAGGCCCTGAGTTCAAGCCCCAGGATTGAGAGGGGGAGGGGAGAGGAGGGAGGAAGTGAGCGAGGGTTCATCTTGGGCTGAGGTGACAAAGCCCTTCTTGCAGAAAAACATCTTTTAAAAAAAGGCAGAAAAATGTAGATAAGGACCAGACACCTGGGTCAGGATGACTCCTGTAATCCCGGCTGACACCGGAGGTGGACACAAAGCTATGACGAGGACAGCCTGGGGCACAAACACAAGCTCCTGTGACCCAGCTCTGAAGGAGGACGGGAGTCTGAGGCCAGCCCCCAGGCAAGACATGAGACCCTGAGCTTACCTGAGAAACAGCTAAAGCAACAACAGGGTGCAGGCCGAGGGTCACGGAGGAGACCTGCCCCGGCATGTGTGCGGCCCAAGTTCAAACCCAAGTACCACAAAAGAGAAAGAAATGCACGCAGACCCTGGAGAGAAGACCTGATGTGGGAGACCCCACACCCTCACCCTGGGCCCTGCTGCACCCCTGATCTGGGCCCGGCAGCTGGCCTTAACTACATCTACATTGAGCCACTTCACAGTGATGTTCAGCCCACGGTAGTGGGCAGGAAGTCTCCCCCTGAACCCCACTCCTTCTAGAACCCCCTGGGACTGAGCCCCACTCTCCCTTCTCAGGCTCACTTTTAGAGCCGAAATCTCAACTCTCTCTCGCGCCCCTCCCCCCATACTGGGGATGAAACGCTAGGATTCACACAGGAAGGAAAAAGAGAAAGCACTCTATAGTTCAGCTCCAATCCTAACCCCAGTCTGAACTTTTCAGAAGACCCCCCAATGGCTTAGACCCCTCTACTCTGAACTCTTCCCCCCCCATACAGACACACACTACCATACACACAGACACTGGACTTAAGTTCAGCCCCAAGGCCCTGGGCCACACTCCGTAGCCATTTCCGGGCTTCCAAAAATTGCCTCCTCCTGGAAGCCCTCCGGGACTCCTTCTTCTCATCGGGATCAGTGCCCAGCACCCGACTTACAGAAATCACAAAAAGGCACCGTTCTGAGAGGCTGTGTAAATCCTCCCTGGTCATGCAAGCTTCTAACCACTCACTCGTGGGAAGCCGATCACACCCCCAAACCCAGATAACCTCCTGGCCACCCCAATCCCAGGCAGGGAGGTAGTTCCCCCCCAGCCCACCCCCTGCCCAGTACGCCCAGATAGGGAGAGTGACCTGTCCAAGATCACACAGCAGATCCTGACTCCAACTCCCCACCCCTTCTACGGCAGTCCTAAGGCTCTTGTGAGCTTCTCCCGACAATGTGTGTGTGTGTGTGTGGTGGGGGGCATGGTGTTAGGGTTAACCCCACCTCACCGGGCACCAGAAAGCAAGCGTGGGACAGACCCCCCCCTCCACACCCAATCCCCTGAACACCTGCAGCAGGTCCTCCTCCTCCTCCTCGGCGGTGGCCGGCATCTTGAGCCTTCCCCTTGTCCGGCCGGGCCAGCTTCTTGCCCGCTGAGTTGCGGGTGGTGTAGCTGTAGACCGAGGTGTAGCCCTGGCCGGTGAGCGGGCAGAAGCGGCGGGTGTGGGCGTGGTCCTGCGTGGCACCACACTGCGGGCACACGTAGTCCCGCAGGATGGGGCACAGCACCCGGCCGGCCTCGTCCTTCAGCACGTGGGACTGGTAGATGGCCCGCGACTCGCCGTTGTGTTTGCAGAAGGAACACAGGCGATCGGCAGCCTGCGCAGGCCCGGCCGGGGGCTCCTGGCACTCGGGGCTGGAGGAGGCTGGGGCTGCCTTGGGCTGGGGGTCATCTAGCCTGACCTCCGGCTCTTCTTCTCCACGCAGACTCCCAACCAGATTGGCCAAACCCAGGTAATCGGTCCACAAGTTGAATGTCCCCATGGCTGGGCCGAGTGTGCCAGGCCGAGGGAGGCAGACGGAGAAGGGACCTTTGCGGGACTCGAAGCTCCCTCCTTCTGCCCTTCCTCTCTCCTCCCCGAGCCTGAGATTCTGCCTGGGGGCGCTCTCCTTCCCCCGGAGGGGCTGAGCAAGAGGGGGGCGGGGCAGGCTCTGGGAGGTTGCCTATAGGAACTGGGGTTCCTCACACCTGCCCCGGCGGGGATACATGGTGTCTGTACGGGGCAGCTAGAGGACACAGGATTGAGAAGCACTTAAGTCCTGCACCCCCACGCCAGGGCCTCCTCTCCCCGTGGGAGGTGGGGGGTGGGGGGGCCCTCCACTTGGCCACAGGGCAGTGAGGGTCAGTGGGGGGACTGAGAAAAGTCTAGTAGCCTGGCTTGGATCAATAATTGACTCCTTCATTTCTTCCTTCTCCTGGGACCCCTGGAGGTGATTGGGAGCGTGTGTGAGTCCCAGCTGTCTGCAGGGGTAACAAGAGCTAGACCCCGCCCTGCCCCGCCCCCAAGTTCTGGCCTCCCTCCGGGAGCTTCACAGGCACCAAAGTGTAACAGCGAAGCAGGACTTCACCTGCCCCAGTTCAAACCTTCCTCCTCCTCTAACCTTGAGCCCAGTGGTGACTGCAGGGGAGGATGGGGGGGTTCCCCAGAAAGCAGGGGTCGGAGCAGGGCCAGGATCTGCCTAGGGGGGTATAGGGGGGATCCCTAGAACTCAGCCCTTTGATCTCCAGAACAAGACCTCAGGTTGGGAGTCTGGAGGATGGGTGGGGTCAGGAGTTCCTCAGAGGAGGTGGGTGGGAAGACCTGGGTATCAGGAGCCAAGGTTCAGTGTCTACCAGATGTGGGTATCCATCTGTCTGTCCATCTAGTCATCTATCCATCTATCCTCTCTCCACTCATCATGCATCTGTTCATTCCTCCATCCATTCTTCCATTCATTCCTCTACCCATTCACGGGTGGCAAATTAGCTGACAGATGACCCCCCCCTCACGCCCTGAGAGACACCCAGAAACTCTATCTCCTCCCTATGACCTCCCCTGGCGGCTCTTCCCTGGGGAGAATAGCCGTCAGACTCTGTGTAGGACTTCTTCCTAGGGGCAGAAAAATCTCCCAATCACTTTTGTTGTTGTTGGTCGTGGGGCTTGAACTCTGGGCCTGGGTGCTGTCCCTCAACTCAAGGCGAGCGCTCTACTACTTGAGCCACAGCGCCACCTCCGGTTTTCTGGTGGTTCTTTGGACAGAAGAGTCTCACGGACTTTCCTGCCTGGGCTGGCTTTGAACTGTGATCCTCAGATCTCAGCCTCCTGAGTAGCCAGGATGACAGGCGTGATGAGCCTCCAGCGCCCGGCTCCAGGGTCACCTCTAGCCGAGCTGAGGCACCTGCCTGGAGGAACCCCTTGAGTCCTTAGCCAGGCCTTTGCACCACAAACCCTTACGTAAGGCCTTATACATATGCATTGCATCTTAAGCATGTCATTAAATCCACAGGATGGTGACCAGTGCAGATCTCTCCCCAAAAATCAGCTTCATTATGTGAAGCAAAATGAGAGATATCTGCCTACAAGGGAGGGATTAAACATGATCAAATACCAAAACACAAAAACCCCTACTTCCTCACAGTCCCTCATTCTCTCCCCCCCCCCCTTACCACAGCCCCTCCCATACTCCCTGAGGCCTGGGAATCAGACATTTTTCCTAACTACTTAGCTCCAGCCGCACTAGACTCCTTTCTTTCTTTCCCTTCTTTTTTGGTGCCAGTCCTGGAACTTAAATTCAGATCCTGGGTGGGGTGTCCACCAACACCACTACCACCACCAAGGCGAGCATTCGACCACTCGAGCCACAGTTCCACTTCTGGTTCCTGGCTGGTTCACTGGATAAGAGTCTAGGTGATTGTTCTGCTCCAGGTGGCCTCCTACTATGATCCTCAGTTCTCAGCCTCCCAAGGAGCTAGGATTCTAGAAGTGAGTCACCAGGGCTCAGCTACCACTTTTGTGACTTATTTGATTAGAGTCATTAAGAATCTGGTGGTCAGCTGCAGGACCACCCGATAACATCCACACTCTCATCCATCCGTCCTTCCACCTGTTTATATCCATCCACCAGCCATCCATCAGCCATCCATCTACCCATCCATCCAACCCCCTCCCATCACCCATCCATCAACCACCCATCCATTCATTCAGCCACCATTCATCCATTCAGAAACTCCACAGAGCATATTTACCGCCCCCTCCCAATGACTAACACCCCCCCAGGCGACCAGAATTGATTTCCCCCAATTCCAATCTCAGCCCATCAAAACGCCAGAAACCAGTGCTCCTCCCCAAAGGGTGGAGTGGTTGGAGGTCAGGCTTTGAAGTGCTGGAGATCTTGGGTGTGGGGGGGTCTGGGATGGGTCCCTTCCCAACCCCTTCTCCCTTGGGCTGGGAATGGTATTGCCACAGTGACATTCATCCTTCCGTGGGTCTGGTCCCCCAGTCCTCACAACCCACCGACAACAATGAATGTGGATTGTGACCTTCAACGGGAGCCCAAGGGAGGGACTGTGCCCGGCTGAGGGGAGACGTCCCTCGATTCACAAGATGGTGATCAGGACCGGGCAAGATGGCAATTCCAAGTCTCCGGGTACACTCAACGGTCGGTGGTTTGTCTGAACTGCCCAAACTCACCGACAGGTTGAATGTTCCCCGAAACTCTTGGTTAAATTCTCAGTGACCTGGAATGGGGGAGAGGTGGAAGGCCACAGACATGGCTGGAGAGAGGAAAGGAGGGATCCCCTTTGGCTGCTTGGGATCAGTGACAAATCCCTCAGTTCTCATTCATGCACTGGACCCTCCCCACCGACTCTGCAAAGGGTAGATTTCCCCCATTTGTCAACTGGCAACGGAAGGGAGGGAGGGGAGGGGGCGGACTTCCTTGGAGCCCAGGAAGTCTGGTAGCCATCCTGTTCTGGTCCCTAGATACACGGAGAGATAAACATGGATTTTAATACAATGTAATGCCTTGAAGGGTTTCACCGAGAGTGCAAAAGACATCAACAAGGCATTTTAATACAATGTACTTTCTGTGAGTTTCACCTGTGCCCAGGCTACCAGCTTTTGAGACTGCAATAAACTTAGGAGGGGGTTAGGGAGGGGGGAGGCAGAGCCCCCCCACAGGCTGGGAAACCAGATCCTTTGGGTATCAGCTTCCAACTGCAAATTGGCTTCCCATGTATGATAAGGGGGTGCAGGCCTCTTCATTTGTGAAAGAGCCCCCCAATTCCTCCCTCTTAAGTTCTGCACACCCCATCTGGGTGTCCCTACAGCAAAGCCAGCAGCTTCTAGCTCGCTGCCCCACCAGCAAAAGGGGTGATGGCTCCCCACCTGAGTTTTGGGACCCCCTGAAGAATGCTTCAGGTGTAAAAATTCTGATTTTTTTCTTTCTTTTCTTTTGTGCTGGTCCTGGGGCCTGGCCGCTGTCCCTGAGTTTTTGTGCTCAGGGTGCTCCTACCACTTGAGCCACAGCTCCACTTCCGGCTTTTTGATGGCTTATTGGAGATAAGAGTCTCAGGAAGTTTTCTGCCCTGGCCGACTTCGAACCAGGATCCTCAGAGCTCAGCGTCCGGAGCAGCCGGGATGCCAGGCATGAGTCATGGACACTTGGGTCTAATTCAGGAGTCTGTGGGTAGAGTGTGCCTTCCCAGGCACAAAGCCCTGAGTCCCATCCATCTCCCCACCACGAAGTAATTTTCCTCCCTAACTCTTTTCCTCTCACTGAGGGGAGTATTGAGCCCCAGAAAGAACCTGAGGATGCAAGCCCAAGTTCGCCACTGTCACACAGACCCCACAGGCCCAGGCCCCGCCCCCGGGAGCCCTTCCCCGGAACCCCGCCCCCTCCCTAAGCACCGCCCCAGAAGCCCTTCTAAGCTCCGCCCCCAAAGCGTATTTAACCCCCCACTGCTCTCTCCAAGCCCACCTCCAGGGTGCAGCTCTCTAATCCCCACCCCAGGAGCCCATCTCGCTAAGCCCCGCCCCCAGGGCGCAGCTCACTAGGCCCCACCCCCGAGTCTATCTCCCTAAGCCCCGCCCCCAGGGCGCAGCTCACTAGGCCCCACCCCCAGGGGCCAATCTAAGCCCCCCCTCTCCCAAGCCCCGCCCCCAGGGCACAGCTCTCCAATCCCCACCCCAGGAGCCCCATTCCGGCGGGGATCTGGACTTGAGGGGCTGAAGGGTGACCCCTGCCCAGGGTGAAGGGCGGGTCTTCCGCCCCCGCAAGATGAATGCCTAAACTCAAGGGTAAACGGTGGGCCGGGACAACTGGGGCGAGGCCTTCCCTAAGTCACCCCGTTATAAGCACGCCCATTTGACCCCCTGGGGCAGGTAAGGCTGCGAGTTCAGGGGAGACGGAGCCTTCAAAGCGTGGCTCCTGTCTGTGCGCCCTAAGTGGGTGTTTCACGGCCCCAAGCTGGGGGTCCCGCACTTGCCCCTTTGGCGCCGCCCCGCCCCCGTCCCGCGCTTGACCTTGGCCCCGCAGACTGGACTGAGCTGGGGCCTCGGGGCGGGGCCGGGCTGACCCCGTCCGGCTCTTTGTCTGCCCGCTGTGGGTGCCGCGTTCCCGCCCTCCGTCTGTCGCGGTTCGCCTGTGTCTTTGTCATCCGGGGTCGCCTGTCGCTCTGACTGTCCTTCCCGGGCCAGTGTTTGTCTGGGTCTCCTGCTTCCTCTGACTGTCTGGGTCAGCCTGTTGTGTGTCTGGCTAGTTACAACACCCCCCCTCGGCTCCTAAAGACAATCGGGGCCTTCCCCCCCCAGTCTGCGGGGGCCTGGAGGGTGTGGGCAGCCCCGCCCCTCGTCTGTCTGGGCGCCATCCTGACCCGGGGCCCTCGCGCCGGGGCTGACTTTGAAGTTCTCTCTGGGAAGCGGAGGAGCATGAGGCCCAGGTGCTGGGGAGGGGTGGGGCTGGGAGGGTCAAGTGGTCCCTCCTTTAGCCCCTCCGAGCCTGGG